GTTCCCGAGAGAATTCTATATAGTGTATTCTTAGGGATAACCCGGTCACTACAAGAAGGTGATGAATAAGAAACTCCCACTCAAACTCCCGCTACGACTGTGCACTCAACATTCTTATTGTTAGAGTCTAGACATAGTATTCAGAATTTTAATCTCCTGATAATTAATGATTATCAAACCCCTCCGTATTAAGTATTTGTCACTTAACACCAGGAACCCCCCTCTGAGCGACTTGTACAAGTCAACACTCCTACTGTGATTTGTACTCCCATTCCCACTATCAACTTGGTTAAACCTTTAAACAGTTAGGACCACAACCAAAATTCCCTTTTGATTCCTTCCATGAACGAGAGGTCCACAAATTGAACGATCAAACCTTTAAACAGTTAGGGTCGTCTCAAATTCCCATTTTGGGCAAACCTTTAAATAGTTAGGACCACAACCAAAATTCCCTCTCGATTCCTTCTATGAATGAGAGGTCCACAAATTGAACGATCAAACCTTTAAACAGTTAGGGTCCTCTCAAATTCCCATCTTGGTCAAACCTTTAAACAGTTAGGACCACAACCAAAATCCCCTCTCGATTCCTTCCATGAACGAGAGGTCCACAAATTGAACGATCAAACCTTTAAACAGTTAGGGTCGTCTCAAATTCCCATCTTGGTCAAATCTTTAAACAGTTAGGACTACAACCAAAATCCCTTCTCGATTCCTTCCATGAACGAGAGGTCCACTTTGAATTTGAGCAATTAAATCTATAAAAGTTAGGGTTGCCTCCAACCTCACTTGGTCGAACCTGCAGATAGTTAGGACCAAGACCGGAATGCTCCTTTCGATAAACGAATGATTTCCACCTTTTCCTATTCGGCCAAACCTATAAAAGTTAGGGTCGAAATCAGAATTTCACCTCAATAAATGAGGAATTCTTTTCTTGGATTAAGCAACCAATCCTATAAAAGTTAGGATTACTTGAATCTTTCCGATTCTCGGAGTGGAGATCCTACTCCTAGTTTTACTTTTCCGGATTCTTAGGGTGGAGATCCCACTTTGAGTTTCCTTGGCAACTAGAGATAGAATATAAAATTCTTCCTCTTCAGTTTTGGGAAATAGAATATAAAATTCTTCCTCTCCTATTTTTCGACACTATCCTTCAACTCCGTAATCCGTGCCTTATAACATAGGGAATTTTATCCCGAATTCTAAGTAGGGATAATTCAACGCCTAACACGCGTTACCGGTTAAGTCTTTCACCGATTAAAGAAGACACCAGAATCCAAGTCTGTGGATTTTTATCCCGAATCCTAAGAAGGGATAAGTCAACGCCTAACACGCTTTGCCGGGTAGTCTATTCCTGTAAGAAAGACGAAGTCTACGTATTCAATATCGTAGCACTAAAAGAGTTAACTCTTTTAGCACAACGTCACATGCGGAACGGACTTAAACAATTCGCATGCTAGCCCGATCAAACGGTAGTCGGTAAAGGCTCATCAAACCCGTTGGTGACTGAGGGTTTGCCAAAAATCCTATGAATGTGAGAGTTATTGACGCATCAGCCCCATTAGTTGGTCTCGTGACTCGAGCATCCAACAACTTCGGAATAAGATCTATATTTGCAGACGAATCAGCTTTAACAGTTGGTCCTGCAGCCCCAACTGTTGGAACCGCCATGCTCCAATACCTTAAGAGCTTAAATTGTGTATACTCTAGCAAACGGATGAGTATAAACTGTGTTAACGGCGAGCGATCCGAAACCCTAGGTCAATACCGGCCAACGCGTAACCCTAGGTTAACGCCAGTCAACGCGTTGCAATGAAAAATTCAACGTCAGGCGATCCGAAATCCTAGGTCAATGCCGGTCAACGTGTAACCCTAGGTCAATGCAAGTCAACGCGTTGCGATGAAAAAAATCAACACCGGGCGATCCAAAACCCTAGGTTAACGTCGGTCAATGCATAACCTTAGGTCAACGCCAGTCAATGCGTTGCGATAAAAAAGTTAACGCCAGGCGAACCAAAACTCTAGGTTAACGCTGGTCAACGCGTGACCCTAGGTCAACGCCAGTTAATGCGTTGCGATGAAAAAATCAACACCGGTCAACGCGTAACAATAGGTCAACGCCAGTCATTGCGTTGCGATGAAAAGCTAACGTCATGTGACCCGAAACTCTAGGTCAATGTCGGTCAACGCGTAACCCTAGGTCTATGCCAGTTAATGCGTTGTGATGAAAAGCCAACGTCGGGCAATCCGAAACCCTAGGTCAACGTCAGTCAACACGTTGTAATGAAAAAGTCAATATCGGGCGAGCTGAAACCCTAGGTCAACGCCGGTCAACGTATAACCCTAGGTCAATGCCAGTCAACGTGTTACAATGAAAGTCAATGCAAGTTAATATATCATGATGGAGATGGTCAGTTCAAAGTCAACTCGACGATACGACCCAAAATCAACTCACCAGTTTTGATTCCATACTTCGACGACGGCCAGACGATAAACGCAGCGTCGGGAGAACTTTAACTATTCGTCAAAATATCGAATAGACTAAAAATCAAAGGAGTGAAGAACCAAAGCTAACTACATGTACTTTTACACCGACTGAAGGTTGGACCGATCATATCTAAAATATTTCAGGCTCATATATAAAAGAAACGAGACTGAAACACTTTGGAGGGGGTATCTGTAGGCGTAAAAAATTGACTATAGGTCCCCACATGTGGTTCAAGACAGAGAGAAGACGACGAATGTCTCTATTCAAGTCACAAAAACTTATTTGATAATGACAAACGCACAGAGTGAGTCGATGGACCATACAAAGCAACAGAACAACATAATAAAGGAAACACGAGCTGATCGGGAGCCCCGCGTCGCTTACGAAAGGCGAAGCACCCCTCGTATCCTATTTATTCCACATGTGATTCAACCATGAGAGCTTATAGATCTCCTCATTAGCTTTCTAACGCATCTTGAATCACGTAATTCCGAGTTCGAACAATGAAGATACGGTGGAAACAGTTAGAACCGTAAAACCAAGTCCAGGCCAAAGTTTGGCCAAGACACCAAATGGTGTCTCGGCCAAGGCATGGCCGAGACACCACATGGTGTCTCGGCCAAAGCATGGTCGAGACACCTACGGGTGTCCGCAGACCCGCAAAGCTTTTTTTGGCAGTTTAGAGCTATTTTTCGATCGTTAACCATCTGGATTTATTCCAACTAATCTGATAATGTGGTTAAGTGGTTTCAACTGAGGATAAGAGGAAATCGGCCGTTCTTATCCAAAAACAGAGGTCCCGAAGCCTATAAATATAGCCCAGGGCCTTAATTTTTTGGGGACTGGAATTCTCGAGCGTTGGCAAAGCCCTATCGGATTGAAGACTGAAGGAGCACGAATTTCAGAGGAGGAGGAGGAGGGGATCAGATCAAGTTTGTTAGCATAAAGAAGAGGAGCTCGTCAGATCTACACGTCCCAATTCCTTCCTTGAGATCGCCCCGTTGCGGTGATCTCGAAAAGAGTGGTTATCTCGCCGTTGCCGAGATAACTGATTCGGTTTGTTGATTCCTTGATACTGTTACGATATGGATGAGGTGAATGAATGGATAATTTGTAAAGGAAGCCAACCACTATATAGATATAGATATCACCACATTATAATAAATGACGAATAATGGGGTTAGCTGAACAATCTAGAAATGTAAATATCATCACTCTAGAAAGATGTGACGATTCATCACTCTAAGGACCCTACTTTAGAGGCACAGATAAACACTCAAAATCAATGGAATCCACCAAAGAAATGTAGAGCAAGGATAAAAGCACATAGCTTAATTTTAATAAAAACATAACATGACATATCCTTTAGATTTCAAAACTATTTATAAGCTTGAAACAAGTCTTCAAGCATAGGAGATACATGAATCGAGAGAAAAAAAAAGAAGACCTGTTGACTTAATAATTAACCTAGGAAACTAAAAAGACTGTTAATCAGACCAGATTCGAGCCATAGTTGGTATTCCAATTATATCTTTTTGCACAAATCTCCATATAACATGAGACTAATTATATAAAACTAGACACGAATATCAATCCAACACTTCGATTAGAGCATCATTTGGACTTCTCTGGATAAAGTTACGGTCAGAATTAAGACCATGCACACAGTCTAGCGAATTTGAATTTGCAATTTGGACCCTATCAAAAGGTTTGGGGTTATTTTAGATGATGTTAAATCACTTAAACAAGGGTTCAAAGGTAATTTGATGGCAAAAAAATTTAAAATTTAACCAAAATTTAGATTGATGGTCGAAATTGAAAGAGTCAAACAAGTTAAAAATAGGGTAAATTACTTTAGAACCCCTTAGCTTTCAGTCTTTTGCGGTATGCTCCAATGTACTTTCAAAATCACATTAAACCCGCAATAAATTTTTTAGAAAACTAATTTATAGGGGTAAATAAAACTAATGATTCATGAACTTTCAAAATGCCTTATTATTTTGTTTTTTTTTGTTCTAATTTATAGGGGGTTATCTACACAAATAAGAAACTTCATGGGCGTTTTCTACAATTACAAAATATTCATGGGTTTAGTGTGATTTTGAAAGTTCATGGGGGTTTACTACAAACACTAAAGTTCATGGGGAATTTACTGTAATTTACCCTTAAAAAATACTTTTAATTTAGGGGTGCATATATCGAAAAAAAGAAAATAACAATATAGTCTTTATTAGCTGGCCCCTTGCGAGATATGTTTGGGCCTCTAGCCGGGCCGAGCTGGGCCAGAAAAATTAAGTTATGTTACTTGAATATCAAGTTGATTAACCAAACACCTTTGATTTAGCTCAAGTGAAAGTCACATCGGTGATCGGCAAAAACAGGGGAAAAAACGAAGAAAGAGAAAAAAAAAAGACAAAGGAAAAAAAAAACATGGGTAACGTGCTAACAACTCCTGCGATATCTCCTCTTATTTAGGGGAATTACCTTATTCATACAAAAGAAAACTAGAGCACAACTACATATAAACCCTACGCTTCTTGGACAAGACATAGATATCGAGCTCAATAAGAAGAGTAGCCGCCGGTGAACTCAATTTCTTTCCGACAACGTAACCACGAGCGAGCCTAAACTGTCCAGTCCCTCCAATAATACTCCACTCCCTCGTCTCGGAAGCAAACACAGCCCTTCCATAAACAGCTAAACTACTCCCAGTATACTTCCCATCTACAAACACAAAGTTCGTATTCATAAGAAATACGAGCTCCTCTTGTGATACTGCAACCAGTAACCCTTGGACTCGTCCGATGAGCTTCGATGTGGCTTGGGGGCCTTTTCTGAGCTTATCATCGATAGCAACTACACCTCCGAATCCTGAGGAAGATGAGTTGAGGGGTGTGATGGGGGTGGTTGTGCTATTTGGACCGCCGTTGATTTCGTGGAAGTAGAGGTGGAGGTGTGTTGCATTTTGGGGAGGAGTGCGAGATTGAAATGCGAAGGGGATGGTGGTGGATAAGGAGATGAGGACGAGGAGGAGGATGTTAAGAGAAGAGGCCATGGGGATTTCATGTAGATGGCGCGACGGAGAACTTAAGGTATTTATGGACGAAGCTGGTCAAATTTATCGGCGTATGGGGGGGGGTATAGCGTATTCTATTATTTGTATTATGTGCCATGTTAAAGAGTTGGCAAGGTACATTGTAAAATATTTATTTATGTAACTCCAAATTCCGATCGGAGATGCGACGGAAGCTTGCCGCTGTAGTGACATAGGGTCTTAAAAGTTATACGACTTTTTGAGGCTCGAAATGAGTTTACCATCATCGTTGTTGTTACAACTTTCATTTGAATCAATAGGGTTGTTATCTTTCAGAACTAATTAACAAACAAGCATTTTGTCCTTCAAAATGGGATGTACTTACGACTTCAAGTACAGTTGTGTGATTCCTATATATAAAAATTAACTTCAACCAATTATTTGATACGGGGTAGGCACAGACCAACTGAGTTTTGATATTTTGGAAATCATAAAGAAATATGTAGTTTCTGTTGACGCCTAGTTATCAAACATGAGATTTATGTTAGAGTTATGAGAGTGATTAGGATCCTCAAACTCCTTCAAGTGACTGGTTCTAAAGTCCGTTGTTCTTTCCCGCACATGAAAAACTCGTGAGTGGGCGGTGTTGAGTTCTCCAGATGTTCCTCCGACGATCAATTCAGTATTTTGATCTTGAGTGGGAAAATCCGGTTGAAATTGTATACGTAGTTATTCAAAGTTGTTAAAAAGCAGAAGAAGCTACCCCATGCAGCATAGTTCCCTTTTATACCAAATCAGAGGGGTATGAAGGTAACTTCGGTCGAGTCCAATCAGGTTGCTAAATCACCAAATATACCTTCCAGGTGTCAGCCGCGAAAGAAAGTGAGTCATTTGGCCATTTAATGAGAGAATGACAACAGGTACTTGGAGCTGACTGGGTCCGATGAGTCATAAAGACTATGGAGGCTAGAGTAATGATAGTTTTGTCAGAATAGTTAATGCGAGAGGAACCGGCTAGCATGGGGTGCGAAGTAACTGTCGTCTCTCTTTTTGTTTGGTCAAGGGTCAATAAGTGCCGCCTTTTGACTCAGCTACACAAGTTGTCGGCAGAAACAGTAGGTCGGGTGCAGGTTGCTCGTAGGGTCGATTAGGTGAGGTGGCCGATAAGTGCTACCTTCTGACTCAGCTATGCAAGTAGTTGGCCCATAGGGTCGGTCGAGTGAGGTGGCTGACAAGTACCGCCTTTGGACTCGGCTACGTAAGTTGTTAGCCCATAGGATTAGTCGTGGGAGTACTGTGATTTGTCTTTGCCTCAATTCGTCTAATTAGGCGAGGGGTGAGACACATGGCTTCTCTATGGAGATTAGAACTTGTTGATTTTGTAGGCTATAACAGATAGACCCCTTCCACTTGAACTCAGCTAGCAAAGTATGGGCGAAAGATCAAATAGTTTTCAGTTATCGACTCTCGAGGAGCATTAATGAGGAGTGAGTGAAGTCTTTTTAGATGTGCTGGTGTTGTCCTCAGGGCATAATTCTCATTCGCTGTCGCTTTGTTTTTTGTGCATGATTGTAGGTGAATTAAGGCAATGAGTGACTCGATTCTAGAGAGGCCATTTCAATTTTTGGGATTGATCTGCACTGTTGGTCTACATCTGCCCCTGCATCTAGACTCATATTTGTAGCTGGTGACTCATTTTTTTTGCGAGCCAGTCAACCAGCTCATTGTTCTCCAAGCCATCTACGATAACGGACATGGTGACTGCACTCCCGAAGTCAGCAACTTCCAAAATCTTGGCTTGAAACCTCTTGATATAGTCTCTCAGACTCTCTCCAGGCTCTTGTCTCATTTGCATTAATACATGTGGAGGCAACTTCTATTTGGTGTCGACCAAGAAGTGATGCACGAACTTTTAGCTGAGCTGCTCAAAGCTATTGATGGACTTCTTCTCCATTGAGCTCCACCATAGCTTGGCTCTTCCCATAAAGGTAATGGGAAATCATCTGCAAATGATTGGTTCCAATGCTTATAGCATGGTCATCATATCATAGTAATTCTGGACGTGCTCAGCCCAGTCTCCTTAACCCTTGTACTTCTCCACTTGAGACATCTTGAATCTCTTACTAGTGGCATTCATGATTTCGTCAGTGAGGGAAGTGTTCCCCATATGGCCTAAGCGATTAGCAAAAAAGATGGATCCTAACTAGTGTTTGCGTCGAAAGTTGGTTTATTTGTCGAGTCCATTACACGTTTATTGATTACAATGAATTCAAAAGAGTTAGTCTTTTTATAAGGCTTCTCACTTACACAAATAAAACAAAAAATAAAACTCTCTTCAAACACACACAAAGGACGTTTATCACCCGCTGTTTGTATGGGATCTATGCCTATGCTGGGGACGCATTAGTCTGAGGACCGTCACAGATAAGATCTAGTTAACAGAATGAAAATTCAACGCTCTTACTTCACAAAGGAAGTATTTGCAGAAGTAAATAATCTCGACCAAGCGAGATTACTACTCTTCTCGAGATCAAAACCAAGCTTGATCCGGAGGAAAGGGGAATGAGCCTCAGATCTCTCAAATAGCTTCCTATTTATGCTGAAGTTCACCAAGATCTACTAGCACTCCTCTAAAATTCGTGATTCACCCTCAAATTTAACAGCACCTCACCTCTAATTTTAGCTCCCTCGTGTATAGGGGCCTAGGCTTGTATTTATAGGCTTCGGTTGCAACGTTTTAGTATAGGAATAGATGATTTAACCTTATCCTTAGTTAACAACTGCTTAACCATATTTAGGGATAGTATCAAAATAGTTGGGGAGGTTCTGGAATGAAAGAATCCTGAGAAAACTATCAAAAAACGCATTTCGGGTATTTCTGGGCACGAGTCGCTTAGCCTTGGCCGAGTCGTTTTGATGCGACTCGGCTGCTAGGGGCTTTTTCGGTTTGGTCTTGTTTCGTTTTGCGCATATCGTCGTTTTGTCGACTCGTGCACTTTATTGAATTGCTTTGTGCACTTGTTAGCTCTTTTACGGCACGGATAATCTCGTTTGACTCAGATAATATTGTTCATCACCTTCTCTTCATCTCGAGCTGCGTACAGGGACCTATAGGTAATTTTTGATGCCTATAGATACCCCCTCTAAAGTGTTTTAGTCTTATTCTTTTATAGAGAAGATTAGGATATTTTTGATATGATATGCCTAACCTTCAATTCGTCGACTTCTTCAGCTTTCAGTTTATTAAGTATTTTGTCGAATAGCCGAAATTCTACTGGTGTTGCGTTTATCGTCTAACCGTCGTTGAAATCTTGAACTGAAGTTGGTGTGTTGATTTTTGAATTAGCTTGTGTCGTTGAATCAATGTTGAACTGATCATCTTCGTCGGGAGTTTATATCTAGAACACGATTGAGCTCCTCGGGGTTAATTTGGAATTGAGAATTATCCTGAGCCTTATTTTAGCGAAATTATCGACGCGTTAACCGGTGTTGAGCTTCATTATAGCGCATTGACTGGCGTTTGACCTTCGTTGTAACACGTTGATCGGCGTTGTCCTTTATTACAATGTGTTGACCGACGTTGACTTGCGCTATAATGTGTTAACCGGCGTGAACACGGTTTATACTCATACGTTAACTAGAGTCTACACAGTTTATGCTCGACCGGTGTTGTAACGTGTGGCAGGCCCAAGTGTAGAGGTTGTAGGACCAACCGTTAATGCTGGTTCATGTGCAGGTATGGATCTTACCCTTACGTCCCGCTAGTTATTTGCTTAACCATAAGGGAGTTTTGGTTGTAGGACCAGCTATTAGAGCTGATACGACTACCACTACGAATGCATCTAAGGTCCTTCGTGGAAACTTCGACTGGAATTGATGTTCTCCTGGGTGTTCAAGTCACGAGATCGACTGGTGAAGTTGGTGTGTTAGTGACTTTTGTACCTTATTATAATTACTCATTCTATTTAGAATAAATAACCATAATACTTATAGGATTGTTGACAAACCCTCATCCATAAATGGGTTTGACGGGTCTTTAATAACTACCGTTTGAGTCGGGTTAGCATGCGGATTGTTTAAGTCTGTTCCGCATGTGACGTTGTGCTAAAAGAATGAACTTTCTTAGACTTGTTGCTATGATATTGAATACATACACTTCGTCATTTGTCACGGGAATAGACTACCCGGCAACGCGTGTTAGGCGTAGACTTTAGGATTTTTGGCATACCCTCAGCTATCAACGGATTTGATATGCCTTTACCGATTATTGTTTGAATCAGGCTTACATATTAATTATCTAAATCTGTTTCACATGTTACGTTGTGCTACGAGAATGAACTCTCTTAGATTTGGTGCTATGATATTGAATATATAGGCTTCGTTCTTTTTACGGCGAAAGACTAACCGACAACGCGTGTTAGACGTTGACTTATCTCTACTTAGGATTCAAGATAAAACTCCCCATGCGTGTAAGGCATGGATTTTGGCGTTATTAATAACAGCCTATCACAATGTTGAATACGTGAGCTTTTATCTTTTTTACGGTAGAAGACTAACCGACAACGTGTATTAGGCGCTGACTTATCCCTATTTAGGGATCAAGATAAAGTCCCCCAGAATAAGTTCTTATGTCTTTTTCACGGTAAAAGACTTACCGGAAACGCATGTTAGGCGTAGACTTATCTCTATTTAGGATTTGAGATAAAATTCTCTGTGCGTGTATGGTACGGATTTTGGCGTTATTAATAACGGCCTGCCATGATGTTGAATACGTGAGAGTTTGTCATGTTTATGGTAAAAGATTAACCGGCAACGCGTGTTAGGCGTAGACTTACCTCTACTTAGTGTTCGAGATAAAATTCCCCATGCGTGTAAGGCATGGATTGTGACATTATTAATAATGGCCTACCATGATGTCGAATACATGGGCTTTTGTCCTATTTATGGTAAAGGACTACTCGACAACGTGTGTTAGATGTAGACTTATCTCTATTTAGAGATTAAAATAAAGTCCCCCATGC